CTGCCATGGACAACTTTGGCTAGCCAGCTGGAGGGCCCTCGTGGAGCGAGCTGAGCCTGCTGGATGGGTCCAGGTATAGGGGGACGTGGAGGGCCCTGCAGACCACCCACCACCAGCCAGACACCCCAAGGTGGCTCCATCAGATCCGTGTGGAGCAGGGTCCGGCTCAGCTTGCCATGAGGGCTTCTCCTACGCCCCGTGGCACACACACCACACACCACACACCACACACATGGCTTAGAGCCACCAAGTTGGGGCCTAGTTTACTTTGGCTGCGACAGGGTATAGCAGTGGGTGCAGCTGCGGCCCCCAGCATCGTGGCCACACATCCACACCAGGCCCTGTGTGAACTCAGACCCCCCTGAGCTCCCTGCCGTCTTCCCCAGCATGTACGCGCTCCCAGGCAGGTGGCCCGGTCACTGCTGGATCCTGGCCCTTAGCAGGGCACCAGAGCTCGGAGGGGCTCAGGGAACGTTCCTCGCACAAGTTTGTGTGACAGGGTCTCTCTCTTCATAAGGACACAAGACCAGTCCCCATCTGTCTTGCCATCTCATTCCTAGGCTCACGAGGCCAACCCAGCAGCCATGGTGAGCCCCGCTGAGGGTCTCAGAGCCAGGCGGCACCCACTGCAGAGCTCAGCTCGGTCCTGCCTGTCTCCCACAGTGTGCGACTCGCTCCTCCCTGGCGCCCCGGCCCCACAGCCCTGGTACGCCGACCAGCGCTTCACCCTGCCCCTGCTGTCTGCTCTGGTCATCCTGCCCCTGTCCGCACCGCGTGAGATCGCCTTCCAGAAGTACACCAGGTGGGTGTGGGCGCTTCCTGGCAGGGCTGCTGGCCGGACCCTCTCTCGGTGGGCGTTTAGGCTGGGGTTTTTCTCACCCGGGGGAGGGGAACTGCTGGGTCTTCCCAATTGAAGAAGGAAAAACAATAAAAAAATGACACAAGTGACGTGTAAACATGATAGAAAGTGGAGGTGGGCCCAGAGAAAAGAAAAGGCAGGGCCATGGTCCCCACACGTTGTCCTTGAGCCCGTAACATGCGTTTTATGTGCACAGAAACAGGGACAAGAGAGACACAGACTTCACTTTTTAGGTTCATTTGTTTCTTCCTTGAGTAAGAGAGAGAGACAGTGAGAGACAGAGACAGGCCCCCCGCAGGGTCCCCTCATGGAGATCCGTTCCCAGCCTCAGGCGGGGGCGAGGGCATGTCTGGACGAGAACGGGCCCTCCCGTGTGGGTCCGCCTCGCAGGGCGTGCGTCCCGTTGTGCCAGCAGGCCCCGGTCATAGCCTTCCCTCAATTCCTCATTTCGTAGTCCCAGGCTTTATGCACTCCTTGGCAAAACTGGAGCCTGGCGACCAGGTCCCTCCACCTGCCCTGCCTTCCCTCATCCTATCCCATCTCGAGCCCCCCGCGCCCCACTGTGCTGATGCTCCCACACCAGGACCAGGGCCCTCATCTCCTGTCAGGGCAGCCGGGTAGGAGGTATCCTGACTTCCGCGACAAAGCCCAGGGGCCAGCCGACGGGAAGTCGCGGGTCTCTTCCCCGAGGGTGCCAGGAGCACTAGGGCCCACGTCCGACCTGGAGCCTGGGAGCAGCTCGGCCTGCCGGGGCCATTGTCCAGACCAGGAACCCAAGGCTTAGGGGGAGGAGCTGGCCCACGCCTCCATGGGGAGACCCGCTGTCCTGCGTGGACCGCACATGTCACCCGGAGGCCACTGACCCGCCGCCTCCCTGTGCTAGCGCCCTGGGCACACTGGCCGCCTGCTACCTGGCCCTGGCCATCACCGTGCAGTACTACCTCTGGCCCCAGGGCCTTGCCGGCGAGCCCCGTGAGTCACTGAGGTGAGTCTCTGGGAATGGCTTCTGACGGTTGGGATGGAGGAGGCAGAGAGAGGGGGTCCCAGGGGTAGCCTTGGAGGAGGAGTCTGCTTGCCGCGGAGCCCTGGGTCCTGCCTACGACGGCCTTTGATCACTGACATGATAATGCCGGGAGCTGGCCCTCTCCTCTGGCGTGGCCACGGCTGTCACTAGCAGGGCCGAAGCACAGGCCCAGGGATAGGAGGAGTCACGGCCACCCAGCCTGGGCTCCTGGCTGTTGCAGATGTGTCCTCACAGCATGGCAGAGCAGGCAGCCAGGAGCAGGTGCCCCGCAGAGGGAGTGTGGGAGGCCAGTGTGGCCTGGCACACGTAGGTGTCACGTAGGAATTGGGGTCCCTGAGGCCATTGGCTTTATTTGGTGACATGCAGCATTGGGAGCACAGCTGGGATGTGACGTGATTTTGTTCTGAAAAGGGCCCCTGGTTGGCTCACGGTCTGCCGGAGGCAACAGGCAGGCGAGGGTCCTGCAGATCCTGGGGCTTGGTCTAGGCTGTGGGGGTGCCTAGAATCAGACCTGCCAAGGCAGGCCGAGTGCATGGCCCGTGCACCTGCCCCGGCCTCGGCTGCCCTGGGGCTCTTACTCTCTGTCAAGCAAGGGTTCGTCTTGCACGAGCATACCATGGCTGGTCTGGGCCAGGGGACTGGAGAATGACACGCGCAGGGGGAGGAGACACCAGGGGACTGCAGGATGGAGGTGACCGAGGGAAAGGTGCTGGTGGGAGGGCGGGTTGGGACCTGCCAGGCTGGG